TACAGTGATCTAACATAAATAATATAAACAAGAGCTTCTACAGCATAAAACAATTCACAATTTTACTGCTACCTTTATTTGGTTAGTAGGACTTCTCTTTATAATAATTATTTTCAGTGCCAGGCATCATTGTTCACACCAGTAACCACAGCTACTTGGGAGACAGAGGCAGGAAGATCACAGTTTAAACCCTGCCTAGCCAGCAAGTCAGCAAGATCCCACCTCAAAACATAAGCTGGGCATGATTGGTCACATCTGTAATCTTAGTTACACAGAAGGCCTTTGGCAGGAGGATTGTGGTCTGAGGCAAGACCTGGGCAAAAAGTGAAACTATTTCTGAAAAATAACTAAAGTAAAAAATGGGCTGGCATTGCAGGTCAGGCAGTTGAGGGCCTACAAAGCTAGCAGGACACCCTAAGATCAAAACCTAGTACTACAAAAAAAAAAAAAGAAATTCACCTTAACATTAGACTTTTGCTTCCATTCATCACTTGTACCAATTTTTCCTAACAAATCTGGGCTAAATTCTCCTGCCTGTGAACTTCCCTATGGAATTTAGCTTCCCTGGCCACCCACCCCACCACCACCACTTGATCTTGCCAGCCGTGTGAGTACTCTAGTAAAAACAACACTTTTTTTTTCCTTCATTGTTCTGCTGGATGAGGGTACATTGTGGCATTTACAAAGGTTCTTACAATGTATCAAATATACCATACTTGAATTCACCCCCTCCTCCACCACTCTCTTTTATCCCCTCTCCCCTGTTACCCAGAGTAGTTTCAACAGGTATCATGCTGTTATTTACATACATGTGGACACATTTTTTACAACAAATTCACCCTCTCCACCACTTTTCCCCATCTCCCCTTCCCACAGGTGCCAATCCCCTCACTCCTGCAGGACTTTTTCTGCCTTCCTGTTTTCCAATTTTGCAGAAAAAAAAGAGAAAAGAGAAAAAGACAAACATGACAAATTTTAAGCAACATTTCTTAACTGTCCACTATAATTCGCTGGAGAATATCCTGGCTCAAAGTTGTGGTTTTTCAATCCTTTTCATATCCGGGAATTTCTTAATGAGTCTGATAGTCTACCTGGGTTTTGGGCCATAGAAATATCAGCTTTCTCTTGCCATGCTATGTACATACTTTATTAGAATATGAATCTTTTGTCAACTAACACCTTCTTGGATAGAGATGTAATTAATTGTTGTTGGGTAAATAGATAATAAATACTATTTCATGGTTTATTTCCAGTGTCTCAGTATTTTAAATTTGAAATATGTCTGAAGGAAAAATCATACAATGCCTACAGCCACTCACCAATTGACTTTCCTTGATGTGTGGAAATTATTTGGTAGATATGGCTGAAATTTTTGTTCTCATTCACATAGCAACATTCTAATTGTTGCTCCTTTATATGTATATGTATTATATAATTGTAATGAATTATATTATGCTTTTGAGAACACATCAATTACATAGTGAACATTGAGTAATATTGTCTTGCATTCAACTTAATGATTGCATATAAAAATATAATAATGTAGATCATTGATTGGAGTGATTCAAATTGTGATTTTCTACTAGAATTATGAATGTACTTACATATGTATGCATATATGCATGTACATATCTAGAATTAATATTTTCTTGGAATATTTTTCATTTCTTTCTTTTTTATAGTTTCAGCATTATATATATTTATGCTCTTTGTATAGTTATACATATAATATGAGACATATTTTAAGCAAATAAACTCAGTTTCTGAAGTCATAGTATCTGTAATTTCCCAGTTGTGACTCTATTAGCTTTGTATTCTCCCTGTGCAATAAGTGATGAGTAATGTAGCTCAGTTCCTTAAGAGCTCCTCCATCAATTTTTAATTTCTAAATTTTAGAAATTTTACTTTAGCATTTGAATGTATATACCATTTTTCTTCTAACTTTTACATTTGTTTACGGTATAACTGAATAAATAGGATTGTAAGGTGGCCCAGAAATATGATTCCTCCAATACTTGACAGTCTCCTAGCTGTTAAACCAAATAAATCTTGGTCTAACTGCAGAATTGCTTCATTCATACAGCCGAGATCTAATAAAATTTTACTTTAATAAAAGAGGCCATTCCTGTGGACCTGACTGGGTCATACAAATCCTTTAAATCTAGATGTAGCGAACACAGAAAAAAAATTAAATAAATAAGAGAAAAACTCAGAGATTCAAAGTTGAAAAAAATTGAAAAGACAGATGTAGAATATGGTTGATGCCTGGAGTCCAAGACTTTCCCCCAGTGGATATCCAAGCAGTATATCAGACCTCAGGAATGCAACTTCCAGGAACTGCATTCCTCCATCAAGCTACATAAGCTAGAATCAAACAATCCTCCCCACAATTTCCAGACAAGATCTTGACCCGGCTGACAACTTTGATTGCATGTTAAAGACCCTAAGCTCAGTAACAGTTATCTGGGCCAGACCTATGATTTACAGGAAATGGGAAGAAAATATTCTGTTCTTTAAAGTTGCTTAGTTTATGATCACATGTTTTGCAGCATAAGAAAATCATTGAATACTCTGAAAAACATTGAATTTATTCATTACCATTGTGTGTATAAAGTTGACTTACATTTTCCTTGAAAGTTTAATATATCTTTATCTCTGGGAATGCCTTGACACCTACATTTTTCTTTTTATTTGTGGTACAATAGATTTAACCCAGGGCTTTGCCCATACTAGGCAAGTATTCTAACTCTGGAACTCTGTTCCCAACTCTTGTTTTTATTTTTATTTATTTATTTTTGTTTTTATGCTTTTGAGGAAGGGTCTTAGTTCCTTTGTCCAGTGCACTTACACTCCAGATCCTCCTGCCTTGTCTCCAGACACTGAGATTAAAGTCCTGCACAATCATGTACACTTAGAGGGCTAATTTTTAAATCTTATGTAAGATCAACAGGCTTTCTGATATAAAGTAAAACTAATAAAATTCTGGTGATACCTGCCACGTTTTTCATAGATTGTTAGCAATTGCCCTAATGGGCTTGACAATCTGATTTATTTAAATGACCAAGAGATATTAGAAACCAGCTTACCTCCACTTACTCACTGAGTCTATCAGATATCCATATTCCTTGTGCAAGTTATCTCATTTGAGCCAAGAGTGTAACCATGTATGTGGAAAGAAAGGGAAGGCTGAAAATATTCTGGTCCTAAGTTTCTGTCCATTCCCTAATGTTTGCTTTCATTATTTTCTTTATCTCGCTGACTGTATTTCTTGTCTTTCAATAAAATCCTTTGTGAGTACACTCTGTGTAGTGTGGTGAATTTTTTTAAATAATCAAACTATACAATTTATACAACTGTGTTTATTTTCCTTCAGACTTGGGTAAGACACATATATAAATATCCATAAATGTGTTTGAACAAGGATTTGACAATTTTTAGAAACATATTTTCTTCATTTGATTGATATTGTGGGATCTGCATATTTTCTTACATGTTAAGAAAGTGGAAGTTTCCCCACTGGAGCTGTTCTAAAGCCTTTTCTGAAATGAGTAAGTAGTAGTATAGGATATGCATGTACTCGACTCTCTTGATAAATTCCAACTCACTGTGAATTTACTTAGCTTCCAATTTTGAATTGCGTTAAGGCAGGAAAGTTAAAACCCTTAAAATACATTCTGGATCAAGTACATATATATAAACATTCTTGTCTGAGTATTAGTTTTATATGAAGAGATTTCATTGATTCAGTTTGTAAAATAAAATATAATAAGTATTATATTTTCCATAAAAAGAAAAATGTCAAATTATTTCTCAAAGTTAAAGCAAGAAACAATTGTGCTATAGTACATCAGTGGGAGTGGGGCAGGATACAGAATATATTTTGGATGCTTCGAATAAAATAATTCTAATGAGAGGAATATTTACATTGTATACTATTCTTCTAAGGATACCTTAGCAATCACCACAAATTGGGTGTCTTAAAACATGAGACACAGTCATAGTTCTGTAGACAAGTGTCAAATTCACAATATGGGGAGGCCTCACCTTTCATGAAGGTTTTATTGTAACATTATTCTTTGTCACTGCAAGGATTTGTGGCCTCTAGACATCCCTTAGTTTATTGATCAATCTCCCCAATCATTGCCTCCATGATCACATGATTTTTCTCTAATTCTTTTTTCTAAACATACTGCCTTATGCGTCTAATGAGAAAAATGGTAATTAGATTTGACGTCCCAAAAAAGCCCATAGTGGTCTTACTTCAAGATCTGTATTATCATTTTTTCAAATAACTACACACTTGCAATTTCTGAATGCAGATCTTCTTTGAGAGACCAGAATTTATCCCATTAAACAAAGTGTTTGATAGTTTCTAGTGAAAATTTTAGAAATTTCTAATCCTAAATAGATATTACTAAAGCAAGACCATAAGCTAAAATGAAAGGACTGATATGATTCAGGAATATTTATATCAGGGATGATAATGGGGCAAAGACACCCAGGATTTCTATTTCTAAAAGGACATGGACAAAGACAAAGCAAAGCAAAACAAAACAAAATCATGGCTTCCCTAAATTTACATCTTAACCTCTTTTTCTTGTTTGCTATTTGGCTCAATCCAATCACAGGATCTGATAAGCTAATACATGGAAGAATGAGCAAGTTAAAAAAATATACACATCTTACAATAAAAGTCCAGCTCCTGCTTGGACAAAGCACTCAATTATCTTTCACTGAACTGTTTAAGGAGTGCCTCAACTCGGTAACAATGAAAGGAAAGATTGATCTTAAAATAGATCCTTACAATTATTTTAAGTAGTACTCTGATTTCACAGAAGAGCATAAGTAAAATCTATCAAACAAATGTCCCATGACATAAGGTGGTTTATTGACCTAACATTGATTATTACTCATGAAATACATACTAATAAAAAGTATTTTTATGTTTTAGCTACATGGCAAACTTAAACAAATTATGTCTGAATTTCCAAGTATTTTCCTCATACTAATAACTTGGTTAGTAGTTTTCTTAGAGACACCATGATGTCCTTGTTCCTTAGAGTGTATATGATGGGATTCAATGTTGGGGTTAAAATGGTGTAGAAGAGAGAAAGGAGTTTTCCGATTCCTTCATAGTGATTTGGTTTGGGTTGTAAATAAGTGATGCTTGCTGTTACATAGAATAGAACAACAACTATCAGGTGAGATGAACAAGTAGAGAATGCCTTAGCCCTCCCTATGGCTGACGACAGTTTCAAAATGTTGGAGATAATTTTGCCATAGGAGACAATGATCAACAGAAATGGAATCATAACAAATACCATTGCAACTACATAGACTGCTATCTCATTTACAAATGTGTCACCACAAGCAAGCTTGAGGACTGGGGGAATGTCACAGATGAAGTGATTAATTCTGTTAGACCCACAAAATGGCAAAGAGAAAATCTGATATGTTTGCCCAATCACAACTGGAATTACACTGATCCAGGAGGCAGCCACCAGCTGCGTGCAGATCTTGTGGTTCATGACTAGAGCATAGTGCAGAGGGTTGCAGATGGCCACATAGCGGTCATAGGCCATTGCTGTTAGGAGGAGACACTCTGTGCCTCCAAGCAAAAGGACAAAACACATTTGTGTAGCACAGGCATACAAAGAAATATTTCCTTTTTGTGTACAAAGGTCCATGAGCATTCGTGGGATAGTGACTGTAACATAACAGATTTCCAAAAAGGAAAAATTGCTAAGGAAAAAATACATAGGCATCTGAAGAGCAGTATCAGTAGCTATTATTAGTATTATAATGGTGTTGCACATCAGAATAATCAAATACATGAGTAAAAATACCGCAAAAAGAATCCATTGGAGATGTGGATTATCAGAAAACCCCAAGAGAATGAATTCCATCATTGTAGTGCTATTTGGTTTTTCTATTCTGATTTGCTCTCCATCTGCAGACATGGTAAATTCAAGAAGGTTAATTAACTCAATTTTGGAATTAAATTGGCCTTTTATGTTGTCTAAATTAGGTGTGTATATATATTTATTTAATCTTTTCTATTATTTCCATTATTAACTTGCTGTGTTTCTTTAAGATTTGATTTGAAGCTTCAGAAGTTAACTGATATGCAATTAAATCAGTTTGATTCATGAAATAAGAAACATTTTATTAGACTTGGTTATAATTATATCAACTGTATTGAGAAGTGAAAGCTATTATTTGAAGTATATTATATAGTGATAATATTCCATTCTTTCACCATGAAGAATTATGTTTCAAGGTTTTTCTTTTGTTTTGTTTGTGCACAATATTTTTCTCCTTTTTGGTAATCATATTCCATCTTCTTTGAATCCACAGCTTTTCTTTCAGTTTTTTTCTTTCTTATTTCTTTTCTTTGGATTTTTCTCCCTTTTATGCTCCAAGTGACAATGAATTTTCCAAAATCAATTTGTTGTTACTGAGTAAGTAAACATATGCATATTATTACTGCTTTGTCCATTGTTACTATCTTATTCCTTATAATAAATAGCAAAAATTAATTTCAGTATTAATTAATGATTCTATGTAATGATTTTGTTTAATCATCCACATACCTCCTATTCAGCGTGTGATGAAATTAACTTTCAATTTAATAAATATGACCAATTGCTCACACTAACTTTTCATGTTACCTTTGCTTTCCATGTAAGATTTTTCATTGTCGTATACTTCCCTCATTATCCAATGCACTCCTTTTCCCTGTTTTTCCTTCCTAATGTTGCCTTTAAAAATTACAACTTTGATTAAATGCCAATATGATTTTCTCTTGCCATGGTCCGAAAACCCAAACCACAACTAATGCAAAACTCTCTTGCTCCTTCATATTAATGTCATCCAATATCTCCGTATCTTCTCTGCCTGATGATTCAATTTTCATTTTCTTAATGCTTATTCCCAATGTTTCAAATAACTTAGGCATTTCCTGGTGTCTACTATACCTTGACTGGTGGAGTAGCTCAAGCAATAAGAGTGCTTAGCTAGTGTCTAATGCACTGTAACCTTCTAGTTTAATTAGCTATGTTTCTAACTGTATATGGAAATAAAAGTATTCATCAAAACATTCCTCCTTAATTCAATATTTTCATTAGTATTAGTTTTCAAGCTGATCTATTTGCATTGTTAACATCATTGTTTCAAACAGTATTATTTAAAACTAATGCTATTTAACTTCAACAAAGGAAAGAGACAGATGCAGTATATATCCAATTCACTCCTTTTTAGACAAAGAATACTGGGTTTAATAATTTTCTGTTTTGTTAGTTTAGGATTGTCATTATCCTTAAGAACAGAACAGAATCTTACCTTCATAGAGACGCATGAAGCAGTTAAAGAGAGTGTAAGCAATGTTTAACCTACAAAATTGTATTTCTTTTTCTCAGAAAGTCACTCTAAGTGCATTATTTTTTTCCTCAAAGGTCAAGTGCTTTTAAATATTCAGTGTCATGCTTACCCTGGGGATCATCTTCTCTCAGGTATAAGTTTAATTTCTAGAAGATTACTTCAGTTTGCAATCTTTCTGCTTTATTTCTCAGAATTACTTATTTGAGTAAGCCCATTCTTCTTGTCATCCCACTGGCATAAAGTTAGTACACACTTGAGAGCCTGTTAGCTTTGAAATGACACTCATTTAGTTAGTGTTGCTTTTGAAAAAAGTTGGGATCTTTTAAGATTCTACATTTAAATCCACTAAGTTAATGAGATTTTGCCTTCCTATTATGTACTTTTTAATGCATACATTTCTAACTCCTCCAGAACTTTAGAAAAATTTGCCACATGTTTTGTCACACATAGATGTCAAGTTTAGTGTCTTCAATACTTGGAGTAATGAGAAAGTTTATTAGAATTTGAACAGTTTAACCACAAATTACCTTTTATGGAAATTAAAGCACGTCATGTATGTTGATACAAATCTTTATTTTCTTTATATTATGATTTAAAATTTTAGGGCCTCAGGGAACACATCTATCCGGTGAAGTATAAAAATTACTGCAAAAATAAGTATTTTAAAGAAGAAAGTTAGGAAGTAAAACACTTTCTTCTCAATAGCCCTTTCCCACTTCTACTCTCTCCAGGACATAGGAATCTCAAATATGATGTCATGAGCCTGTAACCCATTTGACCATACCTCACATTTATTCTCCCTGTTTGTGTTTCTATGACTATTTGACACTGTGTTTCTAAAATAGCATTCCTGTTATTTTTTGAACTTTACTGCAGCATGCCTCTCAGATACACCTCTTAATCTTTATTATCTCTGACTTATTTATTTTTATGTGATTTCTCTCTCAGAACTACAAATGAACTGCACACATGATTTTCTACCACCTTGTCCATTATATACAGGCTATGACCAATTGAAAGTTCGTTGCTGGCTGGGGAAGACTGATGTAATCTTTATTTTATCTTTAAAAAGGAGAATTGGATTTTTTCTTTTTCATTTAAATATCACCATTACCTAAACATGTCTAAGAAACTGAAACAATTCCTGAGATAAATAAATGCTGTAGCAAAATAAAGTATGTATTACTCATATCATTACAAACCACCTGGCTGTGTTCCTTTTGCTCCACCTGGATACAAATTGTGGTTAGGCAAAGAGAAGGGCTTCCACTATTGGCATTCTTGGACTCTTGAATGTCCAAGGCCTAGGATCTGGATAGGTAGAACCATGGTCTAATGCTACCAGTGCCTGGAAGGTAGGAACCTATAGTTTCAGGCTTTAGAAGCCTGGAACTTATGACTCTAAGCATGCCAGTTGTGGGCTTATTTCTCTGTTCTATAATCTACAACATCCCAGCACTTGTCTGATACTGTAATTCCCTTTTTCCAGCATCAGTGTGTGGTATCAAAAGAGGACAGCAAGCAACAGTGGGTGATGCCTTGTCTTGTTACAGTTTCTTACAAGCTTTGAGTACCAGAACTGTCAACCCTGTAGTGAACAGTATTTCAGAACTTGGGCCAAGAATGTGGAGATCCTCAGTCCTTATCTGTGTCAAGTGTTTCTGTTCTTGGGTTTATGGTTCTGAGACCTTTGGCCTACAAATTTTTGATGCTCTCTGGAACTCTTCCAGTGACCAGGACCTCTAGTTACTTCTCTTCAGTGCTTCTCAGGCTTCTTGTCTCATCCTAACTCATCCTATTCATTTCTATGCTGGCTATGCTCTGAACTCTTCAGGTATACTCTAATACTTGGTGGTGCTATTGCCAGTGGGATGTCAACCACTGCCACCTCAGCCACGGATGATGCCTTGCTGAAGCTACAGCTGTGTGGTGGCTTTCTCTGTCCTTTCTTTGTTTTACCAGGTCAGCCACTCTACAAATGATAGAGATCTAAGGTCAGCAACAGAAGACCACTCTATATAAACCTTCTTTTGTTTGTCCTAATGTTGCAACAGTAAGAAGGGAGCATAGGAGACTGTCTCTCACCTAACTTGAAAATGAGGTGAACAACTTTCTTATGCAACCAGAAAGAGAGTATGACAAAGGGTGTTTATAAGAATAATGGCAGAATTTCATGCAAATGAAGAACAGGGTAACAGGTCTTTTGCTTTGCCAACAGGGTAAATGTTCATCCCACCTCCAATCTTGGGTAAAATGACTGTAGGATCAACTAGCATCCACCAAGGTTTGTGGTGGCAAAAAGTCTCTCACAAACTGTTTGGAGACAGTAATGTAATGACTGATGAGATGATGTCAAAAGTTAGAGTTGTAATTTGGCAACAAGCATCTGTAATGTCTCTCCAGCTTCCTCAAGGCATACATGAAGTATTCATAGGAGCTGGTACTGGCATGAAGGCAGTCACCCTAGCTGTTTGCATCATAGCTCTTCACTCAAGGAAGCCAGCCATTCTGGGAATGGGTAGTCTCTATCAGCTATTGGTTAGGGGAATAAATCACACTGTACTCAACAACTTACCTTATTTAAATGGAACATAAGCATTAAAAGGAGTGCTTACAATAAAAAGGCATATCATTAGTCTTAACATTAAATGTGATCTAACAGTATTTAGTAATGTTTTAACAATTCCTAACTCCTGTTTATGTGCCTTCAGAGAAAGCTAGGTCCTTCTAATCTGTCTCAATATCACAGAATAATTTTGAAGTAGGTCATTAGAAACTACTGGTTCATTCCACGGTTCCACTGTTCCCTCATCCCTTAAATCATCTTTACAGTCCCTATTGAATAACTGGCACTCAAAGAACTTGGAATTAAACATAAGAAAGAAAATTCAGTTTTTGGAGCATCACACACTGTATCATTTCTACCCGTATGACATTATGGAAGAGAATCACACGGTCCAAGCATAAATGAGCACATTCTTATGGATTCAAAATGATCTATATCCAATGAAATTTATTAATCTTTTTAGATTAAATATGATAAAGTTAGAGAATGTTGCTTTACTGTTGTCAAAGAAACAGAAGCAAGTTTAGAGAGCACCAAAACACTTTTCCAGTATTCTGTCTTCTGGTAATCAACAATGTGGTTTACTGTTTCTCTAAGACATGGAAGACACGTTTTCACCGCATGGAGTGAAGTTTGTGAAAATATATGATCTGTATTAGAATTTCTCTACTGCCTAGATAACCCCTGATATTCAGAAGAAAGTGAATAAAATGGGAATTGTCTTTTACACACTAGACTCAGAGTACAGCTGTGAAATTTCTGTGGAATATGCTGGCATGCTCTCTTCTTTGCTTGAAATTAAAACAAGTGCCACTGGGTAGATTCAGAATGAACACTACCATAGATACAGAGAAGTCCCTTTGTAGGTTTCCTTTTTGACATCTGGCTCCAGTCTTAACTTTGTTGATTTTCGATTCATTTTGTCTAAAAAGTATTTCAGCAACCAGAGTCTCTTTGCATCTTGTTCAGATTTTATGTATTGCTTTAGGGTAGAACAAACTTGCTTAACTAGTACATTTT